AAAACTTTCATGCAGTTCGGTTTTCATAAAATCTATCAAATGAACGTTTGAAATGTAGGGAAAAGACAGTTTAGAAAGATGTTGTCAATTCTTTCTATAATCATTTAGGTTTTTAAAGATGCGACAAAATCAATGATTAATTCAAATAGGAAAAAGTTCAGGAAAGTCTTAGCATAATTCATTTCTTCACTTTTCACTTGATATCAGTCGAAAGTGAGGAATTTTTTTAATTTAATTTATTACCACTTTTGGAAAATTTCACTTTTTCTATCCATGTGTCGAAAATGACAACTCACAAGAAATATTCATAAAGTATTGATGATTTTGTTGTTCGATGTCAAAGAATTGTATGATTTCGATGATAATTAACTCTCAAGTTCTGACATTATTGAGATTAGGTTAAGGAAAATTCGAAAAATCTCAGATGATTTTGTCATTTTCCTACGATTCTTTCAAACATGAGTTTTTCTCTATTACTCACTAATGAACTTCAGATCATCGATGGCAAAAAAAGTATCAGACTCATGCGTTACTAATCTGAAAATTGATCAATGGACACAACAAGTAAACAGCTGGAGAGAAAGATCAAGTGGCTTAGCAATGTGTAATGTGCATTGAATTATACTAAGTGGTACAGAAGAACGATGTTTCGAAAACGATAGTTATTTTGAAAACACTTTTAAACAGAGATATTGAAATTTATATCTAACAGAAAGCAATACCAAGTGTCCCATTGATGTCAAACTCTACCTCAAATTTCAACAATACTATTTTTGTTTCTACTTTTTTAGAATGATACGGAATTTTGAGATAATGACAATTATTTTATGTTTCGGAAGTGTTTCTTTCAATAATGAAGAATAGAAAAAAAAACTGCTTTTTTTGCTCAAAGCTACATCCTAATAAAATTTTAGAATGAAATCGGTCAATGTGGGAAATTGTACGATTGGAGGTGACAATCAAACACTTAATATGAATGATAGATAAACTCAAAAATTGTTCAAAGAAAAGATTACTCTAGTCATCAGCGATAAAATTTATTTTTCTTAACATAATTTATCAGTAAATTTGTTGTTCTGTTCGATTCTAATGCAGAATAACAAGATTGTAATGTTCTTTGATGAACAAATTTCTATGAAGGGTTTATCGACTTCATCTAAAAACCAAAGAAAACATTCTGATATTGCTATAACGAAATTTATCAAGGGTTTCGTTTTTTAATTTTTTTGCAGAGAAATACATTGTACAATAGCCAATCGAATCATTTAAACTTTTTCTCCATTCCTTTTAAAGGCACTTCCTCGACTTTCTCAAGAATAGCTTGACAAAAGCTTATGAAATTTTCAGGATAGATAGATCTCAACTAGTAGAGTAAAAGCTGTCACGGACTCAGACTTTTTAGATGCTTTCCTCTATGACAGATAAATAGCACACGGATCAAAAATGATCTGAAGGTTCACATCTCCTCCGACCGTAGCCAACCAGAAATCATTTTTTTATGTCTAACTTTATTTGTGTAACAACTAGGACTAAATCGAGGTGTAGATTTTTTTTCTCTAAGGCAAATTTTGTAAGATCTGTCAAAAACTTTCAAAATATTATTTTAAGAAAAAGAAATATGTATACATGCGGCTTTGATCCTAGTTAGTTATCACACAAAAAATTCCAGCTCTATGCGTCGAAGCGTCTGAAAGAAAAAATAGAAATACTTCAATGTTTTCTTTTGAAAGATTGATTTTGAGAAAAATGTGAAACAGTAGAAGACGCAATTTTTTTCATGCATAGCTATCAAGTAATGCACTGCAGATTCATATATCATATTTTGATAATGAAATAATTATATTAGTATAGATCATTTACAGTATGAGAGAGCCGTAAAACTTGATATTTTGTGTAGGAGATCTCTAAAATCCGTTTTTTTAAGGATCTAAATAGCCATGAAAAACTTTTGTTCATCTGCCATACGATACAGAACATTTAAATGTTTTTTTTTAGATACAACAAAAATCGAAGAAAAAGTAAATTTTTGCGGTCGGAAAATGGAGGGACTACCCTTCACGATTCTTGAATGTTCAGTATAAAACGATTTCATTGACTTCTCTATATTCCTCTTCAATGAAATATGTAATTTGATCGTTTGTAAACATTTGAAAAAGAAACATTCATCTGGATTCTTTTATATCTGAAATGACTTGCTTTTTTTTGTTTATTATTATTTGCATTTCAATATTTTTTCAACCTTTCATTGACATCTTCAAGAAAAGATTTATCTTTTTTTTTTTTTATTCATTCTATGAATATTCAAATATGACACACAAGACAGTATCATATGTAATTCATCGATCGACTCAAATCACTTGTGAAAACTAATACAAGAAGAATATTATCTTTTCTTATCAATTGAAATATAAGACGATTTTCGAATTGTTTTATTATTCAATCTTTTATCGTTTTATAATCGACTAGACTTTCAAAAACAATTTGTATTTCTTGAATTCAATGATAAACTTGTTTGTTTCGATTTAAATTTGATAATTGAAAACAAATAGAAGATCTTAAAAATCTTTTGATTCTTATTAAAGTTAAATGTCGAAAACCTCAAATATGCATGAAAAATTCTTCGAAACTATGCCATACAAAAATCAATTTTAGATCATTTTTTGAGATGAATCTTTAATAGAGAATAAGTATACAATCTTATCGTACAATGTCCATTAAAATGCGAAACAAAACGTTAGAAAGTTAAATATATTTTATTTTCGATGAAAAATTGCTGAGTTGTATTAAATCGATAAATTTGGAATAATATTTTAATCAAATTTTCTTGATGATTGTTTGTCTCTCTCGTACTAACTCTAATCTATTAATGAGTTAATTTAGATCGACTAATGAAAAGAGAAAAAGTTCAATTGAATAATAAACTCACCATTCAGTTGTTCTTCTCGAATGTAAAT